AAGAATTTCCTCATCTCCTGGAACTCGTCAACTTCTTTCTCCTTTCTCTTTAGCAGTTCATTATCTCTCTTCTCTTCCATCTCTGTTAGCTTCGGCATTATGAATGCTCTAAATTCCTTATCAGACATTTCCATGATTTTCACCGAACTGCTTGTGGATGAAGAAGAGTTACTCGTTTCCCTTGGGGGAGAGGTATTTTCTTGTTTTCCCATATTTCTTGTGATCCGGTGGTGATTTCTTGTCATCTGATGGATGGTGTGTTTCTTTCAAATTCTTGAAGTTCAGTCTGAACGTTCAGGAGCAAGCAGACAGAGGTGATCTAGAATCTCTTTGCCGTTCTGTTGTGATCGCTGGTGCAGCAGATTCAGTAGATATTGAGGAATATTTTAACCCTATTAGTATTTGGATGTTTAGCTACAGTACTCTTAGATCCGTCTAAAAACACATTAAGTGGATATTGGAGAGTAGAGAGACAAGAAAAAGGAAAATGAAAAAGAGAGAGAGAAACAACAACAAAAAGAGAAAAAAAGACCAAAAAAATGAAAAAAATTGTAATTACTGTTTTTTTCTTTTTTTTTTAAAAAAATCACAAAATAGAAAACCTTTAAAAAATGTAAAAAGGAAAAATTACAAAAAAAAAAAGGGAAGACAGAAGCAGGGAGAGACAGAAACAGAGACACAGAAACAGAGATAGAAGGCTAGGGGCGGGGGTGAGGGGGCTCCCTACCGCTAGCTTGTTTGCTGGAGGCTGAATTATCAGTAGAAAGTCTTCATTTCTCTTGTGCCCTCTATTTTTTACATTTTTTATGGGCATAACATCAGCCACAAAATCTATGTGACTGAACCGTTGTTGAATAAGTACAAACATGAGAGACAGGAAACTGTTCAAAACCTGTTATTAAATTCAACACATGCTAGAATCATGACGACATACTTTGTAAAGACGATTAGCACTTCCCAGTGGAATGGATGCGTTAATGGAACTGACCGCCATGGATTGGGCCGAGGCATTCTTCCCTGCCGGGGCACCACTGCCAGGCACAGACTGAGGCCTCGGGGTTGAAGAGGAAGCACTTGTAATTGTTTTATTTGCCACAGGGCATGTGTGCTCAACAGACAGAGACAAAGAGACAGAGAGAGGGGAGAAAGCACCTCCTGGCGGGATGTGGTCGCACCAGTCCCTGTCCCCCCCATCTCCCCATCCTGTCGGATCTGGGCTCGCACGAGGGGCCACGTGCTCTAGGGAGGAGAGAACATGTAGACCAGCTATCTGCTTCTGCACCTCAGGTCTGGCTAGTTCGAATGTCTCTGCCCAATGGAAAAATAACATGAGCCAAGTGCAGACTTTGAAATTCCCTGGTAAGCCACATTTTAAAAGTCAAAAGAAACAGGCGGGGAGAATGTAGTGGTATATTTTACTTACTCCAATGTATTCAACACAGTATCATCTCAGCATGCAATCAATGTAAAAAGTGATTGTGATACTTTGCATTGTTTTCTATATATGTAGCTTTTAAAGTCTAAGTATTTGCTTCTCCTGTCAGTGAAGGACAGAGAGTCACAGAGAGAGAGAGGACCCCCAGCAGGGTCTTGCTACCACAGTCTATGCTCACGTAGCCAGCCCGGGATCATGGGCACACGCACGCCACTGCACGCAGGGAGGTCTCCTGAAGTGCACACGGAACCTGCCCACGTGGTCTGCCTCGCGGAGCATCATGTGTTACCATGGCACCGCCTCACACTGCCATCCAAGCCCTTTCTGAATATTGAATCCTTAAAATCTGGTGTGTATAGCATCCTTAGAGTGTATCTTAATTTATATGCTAAATTTTAATTAGAAATAAGTGAACTTTAATTAGTTTTTAAATATGCAATCCAAAAGTAGATTCATATGCCCACATTTTCCCAAACTTTAGAAAAGTTTTGTTGTCGTTACTGTTGTTGTTTTTAAGGTTTTCGCCACGGGGCGCATGTGCTCGCCAGAGAGACCGAGAGAGACAGTGGGAGGAGAAGTGGGCAATCACTCCCTGGGGGGATGGTCACACCACAATCCCTTCTCCATCCTCCTGGGATCCTGGGCACGCATGCATGCACACCCGGCACAGTTCTCAGGTCACCAGGTCCGGGACTCAAAACATGGTCGGCCTTGTGGGAGCCCAGTGCCTTAACCACCACATCACCTGCCAGCTCCCACACATAAGAAGTTGTATAATAACTACACTGAGTGTCAGTTTTTAAATTTAAATTAAATAAAAAATTTAGCTCCTTGGGCTGGCTCCATAGCACAGCAGTTAAGTTCTGTCCATAGGGAGCAAAATCCCACATAGCTAATTGTGGTTCAAATCTCAGCCTGGGCAGCTTGTAAAACATGGTTGGTGCATGTGTGTGCAAGCCCCGAATCCTGACAGGGTGGAGAGATAGGAGGGAGAAAGACCGTAGTGTGACCTCAGCCCACTGGGGTTCTCTCTCTCTGGCAAGTGCATGCATCGTCTGTCAACTAAAGAAAGAAAATTAGTTCTTCAGTTGGGTTAACCACATTTCAAGTGTTCTGTTGACACTTACGACCAGTGGCTACCATATTGGACAATAAAGTTCTCGTCAGTTGACAATCTATAGAAGTAAGTGAGGAGAAGATCACTACTGCTGGGAATTTGTAACTGGGTAAATGCCCAAGGACACCCATGGCCAGGTGAAAAGAAAACAGCTCGGTGGGCAGGTGTCCATTTCTACACTTTTCTCTCATTCAAAGTCACGGTAAATACCCTCAACAGTACGGGAATGGGGCAAAGTCCCCCTCGTCCCGACCCAGCACAGGAAGCTGGCAACACTAGGCATCTCCGAAGCAGGTGGAAAGGCCCCGGGGCCAGTCCTGGGGTGGCCTGGTCAAAATGGCCATGTTGTCAGGTGCGCACAACCTCGGCTGGCTGGGAAACGGGGACCTGGGGGGGTACGGTGTAATGACATCCTGTCAGGGGTCCCTGTTCCCTTCTCTCTCACTAAAGAAAGATACTTTGGAGAAAAGAAAAGGCACACTAAAATTTCAGGTTCAAAATGGTCACACCACAATCCCTTCTCCATCCTCCTGGGATCCTGGGCACGCATGCATGCACACCCGGCACAGTTCTCAGGTCACCAGGTCCGGGACTCAAAACATGGTCGGCCTTGTGGGAGCCCAGTGCCTTAACCACCACATCACCTGCCAGCTCCCACACATAAGAAGTTGTATAATAACTACACTGAGTGTCAGTTTTTAAATTTAAATTAAATAAAAAATTTAGCTCCTTGGGCTGGCTCCATAGCACAGCAGTTAAGTTCTGTCCATAGGGAGCAAAATCCCACATAGCTAATTGTGGTTCAAATCTCAGCCTGGGCAGCTTGTAAAACATGGTTGGTGCATGTGTGTGCAAGCCCCGAATCCTGACAGGGTGGAGAGATAGGAGGGAGAAAGACCGTAGTGTGACCTCAGCCCACTGGGGTTCTCTCTCTCTGGCAAGTGCATGCATCGTCTGTCAACTAAAGAAAGAAAATTAGTTCTTCAGTTGGGTTAACCACATTTCAAGTGTTCTGTTGACACTTACGACCAGTGGCTACCATATTGGACAATAAAGTTCTCGTCAGTTGACAATCTATAGAAGTAAGTGAGGAGAAGATCACTACTGCTGGGAATTTGTAACTGGGTAAATGCCCAAGGACACCCATGGCCAGGTGAAAAGAAAACAGCTCGGTGGGCAGGTGTCCATTTCTACACTTTTCTCTCATTCAAAGTCACGGTAAATACCCTCAACAGTACGGGAATGGGGCAAAGTCCCCCTCGTCCCGACCCAGCACAGGAAGCTGGCAACACTAGGCATCTCCGAAGCAGGTGGAAAGGCCCCGGGGCCAGTCCTGGGGTGGCCTGGTCAAAATGGCCATGTTGTCAGGTGCGCACAACCTCGGCTGGCTGGGAAACGGGGACCTGGGGGGGTACGGTGTAATGACATCCTGTCAGGGGTCCCTGTTCCCTTCTCTCTCACTAAAGAAAGATACTTTGGAGAAAAGAAAAGGCACACTAAAATTTCAGGTTCAAATTTTTTTTTTTTTTCTGTAGGGTGCATGTGCTTGATAGAGAAAGTGAGAAATCACCCCCATGGGAATGAACATGCCAAAATCTTTTCTCCATCCTCCTCTCAGGATTTTGGGCACGCGCGTGCACACACACACACGCACACACGCACACGCACACACACCTGGTGTGATTTTCAAGCTCCAGATCTGGGACTCAAACTGTGGTTGGCCATGTGGGAGTCCAGCGCCGTAACCACCGCACCACCCAGCCCCATACATTATCAATTTGGAAGTATCGACAGGTTGTTTAAATTAAGACAACATTACGGTATTAGGATAATTTACACTCTAAACAAGAAAACGATAGTTTAACGAAAATGAAATTCTTACAACAACAAAATGCAGAATCTCATCTTCGTTCAGCTCATTTTTCAACTTTCTGAATAAAGTCTGCATCGCTTTGCAAGGTCCGCACCAGGCTTGGTAAACATCGATCACTGGAAGACAGTGTTAGAGAGAACAGCGTTAGAGTGAAAACCGTCCACCACGCCAGGGCTGTTTGAAAGCCGGATGCTGGAGCAGGGCCAGGCTGAAGACGGGCAGGACTTCAGGGGGAGCATTTCCTAGGGGTCAGGAGGTTCCCTGGGCCAAAGCCCAGATGGCCGGACTGGAACCCCAGAAGCACCTGTCAGGCCTTTGTTCTGCAGCATCTCCTCCCACAGGCTCTGGCTGTTGATGACCGCCTGCAAAAAGGAAGGGGCCGTGAGCTGTCTGGAGGACCACCCTGGACCCACTGTGGACAGCCGGACCCACCTGCAGCTGGACTTCTCGCTTTTTGCTTGCCATTTATCTCCTATCACACGAAGAAGGAAGAAAGATATAACACATTTAGGAGGAAATTTAAGTGACATTTTCTTTATGCAAACAAACAGCATTTTTCTTTTCTCTCTCTCTTTTTTTTTTTTTTTTTTTTTTTTTTGGGCTTTTTTCC